CCGCCCATCGTTCTAAACGCCTGGACTGGGAGCAAATGAGTGTATCGTCTTTTTCCGATATAATCTCACTTACACTTGACTTATTAATTCCAGTTTCTTTTATTAGTCTGTAAAGCTGTCTTGTGTTCCCTATAGTCGCCGCCTTTTCCATCTCTTTTGCTTTCGTTGCCCACCACTGCTCACGGTCGTTTCTTAGACTTTTTCTTAACCTAGATCTGATTTGTTGTCGCTCTTTATCATGTTCAGAACCTGATGGGACGAGTTTGCGAGAATCCATCAGTGTGATAGACTTTGAAGAAATCCACTGGTTCTTTGAAACTCTGTGGTTTAAGTCGCTAACAGATGTCACAGCTGCTTGTATTTCATTCCAAGCAACATCTGGGTCAGCCTCGTCTTCAGAACTACCAAATCGTGACCTCAGTTGTTCCTGGAACCTACTTTTGGTTTCCTCGCTACTCAGTTCGGTTCTAATGGGTCTTTTTACTGAGGCGTTTTTGCGTCCAGTGAGGCGCAAGCAGATGCATGCCCGTATTAGGGCGTGATCGGAGTCCAAGCAGGTGCTCCAGAATGAGCGACAATCTTGTACCGACCCTCTCCAACGATGACTGATGGCAATATGGTCTATTTGAGTCCATCGTTGGCTTGGTGCAGGCGGTCGCCATGTTAGACGATGTCTCTCTTTATGCTTAAAATTTGTGTTTGCTAAAAATAAGCGATTGTCTGAGCACAGTTGCAGCAGACGGTCACCATTATCTGTTCGCTGTGCCGGAATGCTAAAATATCCACCTAAATGCCTTTCTGTTTAGTTTAAGCTACCTATCTGAGCATTAAAGTCACCCCCTACGAGTACCATGTCTGAGCGTTTAGCTTTCTGAAGAAGTTCAGAAAGCTTTCTGTAAAATTCATCTTTCACGTCATCTGAGCTGCAGTCAGTGGGAGCGTAGGCAGAAACGACGAAAAGGCAACGACGTGTGTCCCTATCCTTCCGAGTTCTTACGGAGCCGTTTAGCCGAACAGCACATAGACGACTGTTGACGGGGATCCACTCTAGCAGTGCTTGTTCTGCCCTCATGCTTAGTGCTATGCCTACACCTGCCAGTCCACGAGAACTGGCCATCGGGTCACCAGATACACGTAGGGTGTATCTCGTTGGCTCTCCGTTTTGCCGAGGTGAGGTCAAGTGAATGACCACACTGGAATCCTGTATGCTTGTTTCGGAGACACAGCACACGTCAATGGTAAGAGACTCTAGGGTTTTAGCCAAGGAAGCCTGCTGACCGATTTGACATAGGGTGCGTACGTTGAAGGCTCCAATGTGTAGTTTGGAGCGAGGTTTCAGTAAACCTGGGACAGTGTTTTGAGCACTGGAATCGTTGGCTATGGTGACACTTGAGGGGGAAGCCGAAAGAGGAAGTTTAGAGGTGAAAGTCGATGTAGGAGGAATAATAGGAATTGAAGAGGGAGGTTGATTAGGAATACAGTGGTCTTGGGTGCTGTTAGAGGTATGAGGGCAGTTATCACTTCCCGGCTGCCCACACCGTGGAAGGGTTCTTCTGGAGGTACCTGAAAAGGAAATTGGATTATAGGCGGTCTCAGTGACCTGAGAGCGTGACCGCAGTGCCCAAGGGACAACTGCTTGAGGCCGGTCGCGCACGGCCTTTTCGTGGGAGTTTTTTGACATGTTAGCTCCGTTCTTCAAAGGGCCTTACCGCCGGAGACGGAAATCCGTGAGGTAAGGTGAGGTGCGCATTTTTAGGGTCGACCTTTTCTAACCCCACCCCTCCATGTGGGAAGGCAGCATCGCTGTCATGCTGGTTGTCTGAAGGAAACACCTTACTGCTGTCACACCTCTGTACAGTCAGCAGTACTACTTCGCCTTCGGACCTTGGGTTTGTTGCTTTTAGTCTTACCGCTCTTCAACCGACCTGTCTGACATGGTAGGACCTTGAGGAACGGTTGTTCCAGCCAGTATAGCTCGGTTGCTTCATCACGATAAGCAAGCCCGACCACCACGTCAAGGTAGCAACAACGGTCGGAATTCGAACCCAGGCCTTCCGTCTCGCACCTGATTCAAAACTATTGGCACACACACCACTCTATCTGTCGCTCTCAACTCTTTTGATTTGATGAGAGCTGAGTGAAGCATCATGTTTAGGGAATACCAGGCACCAAAAGTACACAAAAGTTGATAGTTCCAGATTATAATAGCATCAAGAGTTGTGAAAAATTTTTCTCAGTCGGCATACCATGCACGAAAACCAAAATAATTATCATTAAACAACTAATATTTGAGTCTAAGAAGATTACTGATTTCAACCACTAAGTGAATAGACAGTAAATCTATCGTTTTTTTCGCACCAAACAGTGATTTAACCTTGTTGTTTTCAAACTTCTACATTCATAACTTTCTTCCAATAAATTAATTCTTGTTGTTACTAAGATCGTCATTTATTTAACCTTCCAGAGCTTTACGATGTTTGTTAAAAATTCAAGCCCATGGAATATTAGTGGTAGCTATTAGGTGCATTAAAAATCAGTTTTCCTTGTCAAGACCATTTTTGAGGCTTTACAGATGTATGAATGTCATTAGACTGAATGTTTATATATAAACTTAAGGGAGTGGAGAAACGTGATCTCTTATTGCTTATTTCTAGTTAACATAACCGCTGAATATAATGCAGATCAAAATAAGTTTTATTGAGATTCCCTAGACCAACTCAAAAAGAATAAACGTATAAAGGAATATGTTATAGGTCCTAACTTTATTGTGTATAACAAGAAGCTGAGGTCAAAGAGGACAGTATTCAGAAAGTACATTCTGAACTTGAACTATACAGAAGAATAACTTTAATCATCTCATTTTCGTCACCAGATTCAGAAATGAAGGAAACATTACCTGAATAATGAACTCATACCAACATCTCAATGAATACGGATCGGCCAAAGTGCCTATTTGAATCTTGGTTATATTTTAGCTTGAGCACATGTATATTCGATAAATTCTAATGCATCTCTAAAATTTCGTTCAAACTGGATAAAGTGAGAAATAAAAGATTCTATGAAGAGCACTGGAATTAAACTACAATAACTTCAAGCAGTAATAGGTGGCACGAATGGGAGAACCGAAAATAATAAGTCGTCAGTAAATAATAACTTACTCAAAATAGATGAAAATAACAAGAATGTATTTGTTTGTCTCAGTCATTTAAAACAACTTATTCATCTACAAACATCATTTGTGTTGATATATCTTCTTCTAATAACTAAGCCTAGAATGAGAACTTATCAGCCAAACAACTCAGTATAGAAATTAGGGCACCCCCGAAAAAGAATCTACCTGATCTATACAACCAGCTTTTATCATTTTATTTTTTTTCACTGTTTGTCGATGTCTTGCACTAGTGTTGAAAAGTGTCACAATTTGCACTATGGTGTTACAATCCGAAACCTTGTATTATTGAATCCGATCAATCTAAACATTTTGTGTATGATTTCGAACAGGGATTTCTTGTTCCTATCAGAAGTCCCAAACCAAAAAGAAACCTCCACACCTAAATAACAGTTGAGTTTAATTACCTCTACAGATTAAATTGTTGACATGTTTCAACCTTCATCAATGTAACTCAATGGTTAACTTCTAGTATTCCTGTTCTGATAAACTAAGGGTCGTCACACCAACCACTATAGCAAAGTTACGAGAAAAGCTAATGATTAATCTCATTGTTTGGCAAGGCATGTGCGCGGCCTAGATGGGTTGTTAAAGATATTGACAGACAATGATGAGTGAATATATGAATAAGAGTCTTTCATATAGATAAAGTTTGAATTATCAATACATTTTAGTAAACTTTAGAAAATCTCCTAGAAAAAAAAACCGAAAATTCAATTTCATTAGATCTTAAATTCGCTTGATGTTGTTTTACTTGTATCTTCACATTGTTATTTAGAACTGCAATTGATCAGTCTCATGTTGGCATATGTGCATCTTGTACGAATTGCCTCGATATAGCCATAAGTCACAAGCTTTTTAAGTAAAAAGTGAACATCAACTCTGCGATGTATGTACATCCAGCTGACGGGCCCCAAATGGGACGAAACGCGCGTCCTGGATTCCACTGCTAGCCACTATCCATTTTTTGCTTAATTAGATCTTGTTTATATAAACCCATTTATAGAATAGAAGTAATTATCTAACGGTAAAAACGATAAGTGTTTTTTTTTAAAAACATTTACACGGGTAATTGATCATTACCGACAGTATATATAATATTTCTTAATAACATACTTTTTACAGATCAAAAAAACAATAGTAACAATCATGTATGCTTGTGTGATATTTCTTTACAGTCGCCGGTTTAAAAACAAATCAGATAATGTATCACGTGGCTAGACTTTAATTCCAATGTCCAATACGAGTTATTAAAAGTTGCAGAAACTTAAGACATATTATACACGTATTATAATCAACTCTAATAACATAGTAACACTGGTATAAATTCCAATGGAAAAGTATGAATCGTAAGTGAGTAAATGAAATAATATTGATCCGATCTTTTTATCTTTGAAAAGACTTTAAATAAACAATAATAGTACGTTAAAAAGAACTCAGCAGTAAAATTATTTTTTTTAGGTATAAAATTGTTATTTAATGATAACAGCATGGATTGATTTAAATGAAGCATAATTGCCAAATGTATACAAAAACTATATCTAAATAATTCTATCACTGTCGTGTACTTGTCTTTGAACCATATTATAAGTGTAAGGACTAATAATACTACTTGGTTACTTAAACAGAAGTAAGCGGAACGGGGTAGATGAAATTCGAAAACTTTATCCATATTCAAACTATGTGAATATTAACAGAAAGGCAAATGAAATATATTGTAAATTAAACAGGCATTTTTAATAAATTCATATTTCTTTGAGAGTAGAAACAACTGAGGACATATATTTCTGTGCCCATAAAGGTGGAGAAATTATTAAACTTGAAAACTCACTGTATTTGCGTGAAGCGACAACAGGATGCACAGTTTCTTTATTTCCAAAAGAAGAGGTATGTGGATAGGAATAGTCGCTATCACCATCACCCCACCAGCTTGGTTGTCCATAAAGTTCTGTAAAATACAAAATTATTTCACATGAGCAGGAAATTTGACCTCCAATGATTCTTGTAATATTTTTGATATCCATTAAAAATGAGACGTTAACAATCGAAATGACGATTTTGACTTCTATAGTTCGTTTACTCTTGAGAAACCGGAGTAGATGAGATGAGGTTGAATATTTATATCATCCCTTATACAAACAACTTATCTAAACGCTGAGTGCATCAAACATGTACTAGAAACATTAAGATTACAATTTAATTACAAATAATTTCTAATCTAGATCGGTTCATGATTTAAAAGAAATTCAAAAATCTACACAACCTCATACTGACAATTATTATATGCCCATTAATGACTAGCTTCGAGAAGAAAATTCTCTCAGTGCTAGCGCGGAGCTATGACCAGTGAAGTTCAACAGTGTCGGGTGTGAGGCAATTACCAATTGAAGATAATTGAAGATGGCCGAGCAATATCATGGGTTGGTTGGAGTTAGACATTAACATAGCTGGATGTCGACTTAGTGGTCTAGAGGTTAAGAGTTTCGGACCGAGACAGAATATCCTGTGTCCGATTCCCTGTGATGGGATCATGAATGCGCATCTCTTGGGAGTCCTATACTAGGACGAAACGGCCGTCCAGTGTTTCCAGGTTTTCAATGATCGCCTAAATTAGAATAATTCATGATTTCAATGAAATTTAACAATCTCCACAACCCTATACTGAAAAATACCTTTTAATCTTTTGAATATATGCATGACCTGTTGGCGAAATCAAGTCGGAGAATTAAGAGATACCTAAGTTATTCTTTGGGACAACTAAATATTACCACAAATCCTTACGCAGTAATTTCAAAACCTGACTAGTCAACTATAGTACTTTTTACTTGACATTAATTACCTGGTTGTTGCCTTGTCGTATAAATAAACCTTTCATAATTGTTTTCACTTCAAGGATTTAGATCAATAGGTTTCACCCTAATAACTAAAGAATTATTATCCTGAAAACAAGAAGCCTTTGATGAAAAGTTATTAGGAGGATTCCGTACTGAATGGAAAGATTTAGAGCTTAAGTGAATAATTTTGGTATTGTTAAGTTCTCCGAGCTGAATGTTTTAATTGTGGAGCTTTCATTTTCATTCTGGAAAACGTCGTCACTGCTTGCTGCATGTATGTAAGCGATGACGATGTTTCCCGGAACGACAATGAAAGCTCCACAATCAAACCATCTAGCCCAGAGAACTCGACAACATCAAGAAAATTCTGTATTGTTATCAGAATAGGGGTTTGTGGAAACTGTAGTAATTTTAATAGTTGAATTCATTAGTCGATATAAGCTAGATCACCATCAAAAACCTGAAAGCACTGGACGGCTGCGTGAGGGATCGTGGATGCGTACTGTTGAGGTGTCCCAAACTAAGACAAAACAGCCGTCCAGGCTTTCAATAGTGGCCTAGCTTTAATCGATTTATGAATTCAGCTATTAAAATTCTATATTGCTTGATCAGATGACTAAATTAGATAAATGGCTAAGATGGGAATTCGCACTATATTGGATTAAATATGTCTAGCAATTGAAGAATAGTGAGCAGGCTATGGCGTCTAGATAAAAATTAGATCCCTCGTGAACTTAAAAATGTGGAGAATAATTTCAAAGATAGAACCGCACTTTATTTCATTCTTTTTTGACGTGTAGTTGCAATTCACTAGATTATTTTTTAAATAAAAAGATGTCCAAAACAAGCATTTTCGAAAGAGTGGTAGTACTTCCTTTTTTTAACACTATGCTTATTAATAAAAAAACAGTAGACATACATAATTTGGAAACTAGCACACCGTAAACGTTTTACTCATTTTATCATAAAAAATTATTTCCCACACAAATAAATAAGTGATCCTAGGAATGCTAATGTGGTGTGGTAACTTGAGCCGACACATGTGTATCAGGTAATTATTGTTGGCCTTATTACACTACATACGACTGACTGAATTTATTCACAAACAACTTAACTTAAGTGAGCCACAAAATATCAGAATATTATATGATCAGATAATTTTTGTTTGGTTGTTTCTCAGCATAGAAGTTCTAAATAATGCATCAAATGATACAGTATTGACTAGTTACTTTAGATGAATGACTTTCAAACTGTCAGTAACTTGGATGGTCGGTTAACCTTATAAGCTTTTATACAACATGTAGTTTGAAGCACAAATCTATGAATAGTTGCTGGGCTGAATTTCAAAGAAAATGATAGGTATAATTACGCTGGAACCAACTGCTGTCTATATCCCTGATACTTTTCCCTTGTATCATATTCTTATATAATCTTTTTATATATATTGCTATCACTGAAGTAAATGCTTCCATGGATTTGATGTTTATCTTATTGTGCTAATGGCAACTTTGACCGATGCATATATATGCCTAGTCCTACGTTGTAGATGACTGACTGACTGAGTTTTCATGAGTTTTGTTTCCCAAACCTATCAGCCGACTATATCACATCTCAACGATGTATTAGAAGTTGAGGTAAATAGATCACTCTTTAATTAGACACAAAATGATTAAAAATTGGCACCTAAACCTATGAACCATGACCTGTTCAACTCACAGTGGTATCATCATATGGAACTTTAAAATGCCTTTAATATGAATCCAATACATAATCTTAAAATGATGAAGAATGAACCTACCATAACACTCGTAAAAAAGTTATTTAGTTATGACTACCTTTTACACTCTTCCTGGATGCTATTAATGATAAGTTAGTTTCTCTGGTTGTCAAAGAAAAGACAGGGTCTGAGCTTCCGATAGTTGAGGCAGAGATGTAATCTGTAATGGGTTGCTGTGAAACGCCATCACGTAGACTGTATTTCGGCTTTCGAAAACTTTTAACTACATCTGGACAGTTTGGATTTGATATATCACCAGAGACTGAGTTTGCTCTTTCTGATGGAGTCATATTTTGCAGATCAGGATTCCGTACACTTGTGATAGGGGCAAGTTCGCGCTTTTGGTCAGCAACAGTGGAATCAATTTCAGATAGGTTAATTAATGTTTGGTTGTTTGAGTCAATAAGTAGATTCAAAAGCAGATTTTCGGGAGAAACAGAATCCAACTGATCATTTTCAAAGGGTGGGCTTTGAACTAAAGAGAAAACACCATCTTGTTGAAGTGACAAAGGACTAGGAGGTTTGTCTTCAATAATTTCGGGTTCTGAATTATGACTATCACTAATTTCGCTGCTAGTGGATACACCGATAATCACTGAATTACATGAATTTTCATGCCTTCTCTGCAAAGTCGAAGTACAACACAAGAGTATGTGAAGTTAACAAAGTATTAATACATCATGATATCTAGAAATAAAGGTACTGTGTCAGTAAAAATGCCGAGTAAAAATGAACCGACCTACAAAGAGGAATGATCATAACACGGTCAATATTCATGTAAAAGTCGCGTAAAGCTATACAGCAAACATTACACAGAAGTAAAAATAGAAGGCAAACCAGTTCAAAAATATAGTCCACGAAAATTTAAACACGGCATCACCTTGTTGTTGACGATTAAATGGAAATCGCCCTGAAGATAAAGCATAATGTTGACAAATACCTGATACATTTTGGGTTTTGTAGATGTGAGTAACGTTTTATTGTCCTCTAAACCTATTGGCGCAATATTTTTAGATAATAATTGGTGTTTACTAAAATTATATGTATTTAAAACCAGAAAAGTGGGGAGTATACTTTTCAAAATGGTAAAAGTTGGAACACGTACTCATTTTGAAGACAGATAATCGCAGATGGTGGGAGCTCTTGTGAGGATTGCAAATAAAAGATTACTGGCGTGTGACAACACATTTTGCCCTTCATTAAGATAAATGAAGTGCCAGGCATTAGGCTGTTTTTGTGCCTTAGAAACGTCAACCTGACAGCAACTATCAGATAAGTGCATCGATTACAGATTGATCACTTCTTTGGTCAGAACTTGATTTCTTGGGTTCAAGACATTTTAAGTCTTTGATTTTCATTATTGTCGTGACGATGGTGTCAACCAATATTTGAAAGTAACGTGATACGATCAATTGTGATGTCAATATGGAGTATATGGTTTCCGTTGAGGATGAGATCTTAACGAAAAGAATTTTCTTGGAACTCAGGATTCCAAATAAGCAACTATCATACTGATTATGACCTTATCACTAATAATGAACGGAAGCCCAAATACGAAAATTTTGTAGTATCTCAATCTCCCAATTTTGGGGAAGCCAATGTGAAAATTTTTGGGGAAATGGTACCAAAACCCCAATATTTCTCCTAAATTTCCCCAGAATCTTATTACACTTTGGGGAAGTCGGTTTGTATTTATTAATAAAATCCACAATTTTTTTTACATAAACACTGTTTAATCACTGCCTACATTTTCTACATGACTTGTAAAAACTGAGTCATCTTACTGTTCGCTGAGTTGGTATATTATCTAACTCGAATGCTTTATATGTACACTGCATATATCACTAGCTAATCATTTGATATGTAGAACATTTCAAATCCAATTATATTAACACTGATAGTCGACAAAATATATGTGAAGTAAAATGGATATGTATTTCATTGATATCAAAAACTTTTGGTTATTACGGAGTCAGTAAAGTAAACATACAACAGGTACCCCTAAGATGAAAATTTACCCCTGAAAAACCATTTAAAGATATGTTTCAAAGTTAGAACAGCCCATAAAAACAAGATTTTAGTTAGATCAGCACATTTAGACCGTTTTTAAGCAGTGTCAAGTACTTACAATATCAGGTTGGCTTTGGTTACTACAGATTTTCCGCGGGCTAAGTGAATGATGACTTGACATCACAGGGTCAATGTTGAATTACAGGAAGGAAAAACTCAGCTTGCATGGGGTATAATTGATAACTCGAAATTGATTTGGTAAGCCGCTATAGATTCTGATATCATATTCTCCGTAAGAATGCAAGATAACGGTGTAGGCAACACTAACACATTGCATACAACAAACAATAAGTACCGCAACATTGAAAAAAGGTGCTAAATAAGTAGATAACATGAGATTGCTTAAAACACACATCAAACCAAACGAATACCTATAAAAAAGCTTGTATACAGTAACTTTTTTTCCAAAAAGACCTTTACATGGACAGTATCAGCCAAATGTTGGAAATGATTTTTATTGCTACCTGAAAAATTAGGTGTTTTGATAAGGTTTATGAAGTCCGTTTGATTGTCCAAAAGTCATGCATTTTGGCACACAATTTAGTCTCTTTTTCTTTGTGAAACATGAGGAATAAATTATCAAGGACCAAACGTGAGTTTGTAGTTGTTGTAGCGGTAAATAAATCCCCAAAATAAATAGCTCTAAGTTTTCGACATTGGATGCTGACCATATGTTTTAGTGGACTCATCTAGCTGAAGGCGCTCGGTCATGCATCCGCACCAGATCACGTGTGGTAACGCTGTGCTCAACATCTACCCCAATCGCTAGCCAGATTAGATCAGAGAATCCCGATATATTGGTAATCGCCAAATACACTCTTCCGATCTCCTCGACTCTGTCTTTTGATTTCTCTGGGTGGGAACGAATTATATTAGGTGTTACTGGTGAAAGCGTTGTCAAACACTGAATACCTGTGACATCATCATTGGTAAGACCGACGTGATCTGGTGCACCTAATTGCAACTGTGAGTCTGTTCCTTTTTGGGATTTTTTTATATCATTGCCATATTTTTTATTTTTTAAACATTGTGATTTTTTTTTCGAGTTATTTCCTGGATATATATATATTTCCCCTCGTTCACTCTCGTACTTCATATTTCATCATGACTGAACAGACACCCAAAGTACTCAAGCTTAAGACCTTGTCCCCACCTTCGTTTCAACTGATGCCTTTCTGGCCCCACAATATCGAAGCCTGGTTCTGCTACGCAGAAGCCGACTTCTCCGAGCACGGCGTGATCGACACACGTGCACAATTCCTTGCAGTAGTCAAGGCAATACCGCGGGAATTCAACAGGTACGTAACACCTATTATGTTTACTAGTGATGTTTCTGAACCTTACGAAATGTTGAAACGTTCGATTCTTAAACGAGGAGACCTAACCGATCGACAAAGGTTAGATCAACTCTTCAATAACATCGACCTGCAACACGGTGCTGCGACGGACATGTTGCAACGGATGAGAGAGGTTATAGGCCCAAGAACTTTCGACGAAGGTCTATTCAAACAAACTTTCTTGTCAAAACTTCCCCAACAGGTGCAAGCAGTTCTGGTCTCGTTTCAGAGCAACGCCTTAGACGAGGTCGCTGCATCTTGACCGCATTTTAGAAATTACGAAATCTTCTACGACAGAGGCTTTTTCAGTCAAAGAAAAGCCTCAAACGACTCAGAATGATATAACCGACTTATGTCACACACTGACGCGTTATCTTAGTCTTCGTACCGACCGTAAGAGATCGCGCACACCACGTAGAAGCATTTCTCGTAAGCGATCTGTCTCTAGACCACGAGAGACAGATAACCCCGACTGGTGCTGGTATCATAACCAGTATGGAAAGTTTTCCAGAAATTGCAGAAAACCCTGCAATTTTCCCAACACGAAACCGACTGATTCGAAAAGCGATTCGGGAAACTTCCAAGCCGGCACGCGTTAACGGCAACCGTAGCCGGCGAACATAGCCGTCTGTTGTACGTCATAGATGTGACAACGGGAGTTCGCTGCCTCGTCGACACTGGCGCAGAAGTTAGCGTTCTCCCAGCAAATCCTAACGACCGGCTTCACGAATCGGCTTTTAACTTACAGGCGGCAAACGGAAAACCGATCGCTACGTACGGCAAAAGGTACGTTTACCTTAACGTGGGTTTACGCAAACCCATTCACTGGATCTTCGTTGGTGCAGATGTTTCTATGTCAATCATTGGTATGGACCTCCTACAACATCACAATCTGATCATCGATACGCGCAAACGGAGGCTGGTAGACGGAAACACTAATTTATCCGTTTGCGTAACTTCTTTTTCTGGTTGCAGATTATCCCCAGTCACAATTAAACATTTGATAGACCCACTCTATCAACCACTACTCGATAAGTACCCTGGGATACAACAAACTCAACCGAAACTACCGTGTGTAACCAGCAATGTTACACATCACATCACGACTACAGGACCACCTGTATTCTCTAAAGCACGACGACTAGCTCCTGAAAAACTAAGATTAGCGAAAAACGAATTCGATCACATGATAGACTTAGGGATCATACAACCGTCAAATAGCACATATGCATCTCCGTCGCACATGGTCCCTAAATAGGACAGCAACGATCGGCGTCCAACTGGTGACTATCGGCGATTGAACGCGAAAACCATTCCCGATCGTTACCCGTTGCCTCACATTCACGATTTGACAGCCACCTTGAAAGGTACAACTGTCTTTTCGAAAATCGACTTGGTTAAAGCGTATAACCAAATCCCTATGGCTACTGACGACATACCGAAAACAGCTATCATAACTCCCTTCGGACTCTATGAATTTTTGCGAATGCCTTTCGGTCCAAGAAACATTCCAAAGATTCATAGACGACGTTTTTCGAGGTCTCAACTTCGTACATGCGTATGTTTACGACTGTCTAATCGCAAGTCCGGACAGAGAAACACATCTCAAGCATCTGGATCTTGTTTTCGAACGACTACAAAAACATGGCATTACTGTAAACGTTTAGAAATGCCAAATCGGGACCGACTCGTTAGACTTCCTAGGACACACTATAGATGCTCAAGGCATTCGACCACTTAGGACCAAAGTGGCGGCCATTCTGGATTACCCAGAACCGACCACCGTCACGCAATTACGCACGTTTAACGGCCTCGTTAGTTTCTATAGACGCTTCATACCGAAATGCGCATTACTTATGAAGCCTCTTACTGTTCAACTTCGTGGAAATGCGAAATCCATCAATTTGAACGACACCGCACAAAAAGCATTCTCCACAATTAAGGAACATATCGCGAAAGCAACAATGCTTGCACACCAGGACACCCGAGCACCCATTAGCATCGCAGTAGACGCATCCGACTCAGCAATCGGAGGAGTCTCATAACAATGGGTTAACAACTCCTGGAAACCCTTAGTATTTTTCTCTAGACGGTTGCTAGACACTGAATCGAGGTACAGCACATTCGGTAGGGAACTCCTAGCTATGTATTGTGCTGTACGGCATTTCCAATACTATATCGAAGGCCGTGAATTCACTCTTTTCACGGACCATAAACCACTCACTTTCTCGTTAAGCTCTCCTTCTGACAAGTACTCTCCCCGTGAGTCTCGACAACCGGACTACATTTCGCAGTTTACTTCAGATATTCAACACATCTCTGGAGCAAACAATGTAGTTGCAGACGCTTTATCTCGCATAACTTCCTTGGACAGTTTCCAAGGAATTGACCTTCTGAAACTCGCCGAGCTTCAAAAAGAAAACACCCTTAAAGTACGCATCAAATAGATGGGAACAGGTAAGGAAACCTTACTGTTTGACACATCTACAGGTAGGGATCGCCCAATCGTGCCGAAACATTATCGACGCAATGTCTTCAACACATTGCACAAACTTTCTCATCCAGGTGTTCATGCAACCATCAAGCTTATAGCAGAACGATTTTGCTGGCCTGGAATGAATAAAGACTTGAGGGAGTGGGCACGCTCCTGTGTAAGCTGCCAGAAATCTAGGGTTATCAGACACAATAAATGTCCCGTAGGCTCATTTAAAACTCCCGATGCTCGTTTCGACCATGTTCATCTGGATTTGGTAGGACCTTTATCAGATTCAAATGGATACTCTTATCTCTTAACCTGCGTAGACCGTTTCACTCGATGGCCAGAAGCAGTACCTATCAAGGACATCACTGCTGAAACAGTGGTCCGCACCTTCGTCGAACGATGGATAGCAAACTTCGGCTGCCCTTCAATCATCACTACAGATCGCGGACGTCAGTTTGAATCTGAACTTTTCCGTCGTTTGACCACACTTTTAGGAACCACTCGCTTCCGAACGACCGCCTACCATCCACAAGCAAACGGGTTGGTAGAACGTTTTCACCGACAACTAAAAGCTTCACTATCAGCTGCAAACGTTTCACAGTGGACCGACGCTCTTCCACTCGTCTTACTAGGTATCCGCAATGCAGTGAAAGCTGACATTGGATACACTGCGACTCAACTCGTTTATGGAACGAAACTTCGACTTCCAGGAGAATTCGTGGATCCTTCATCCTCTTCAATGAACATAGATCTAATCTCCTACACGAACAGGCTTACAAACGCAATGCGTTCAGTTAAACCTGCATCCACTCGACCACAATCAACCAATGTTTTCGTTCAACCTGACTTACGATATAGTACACACGTTTTCGTTCGTCGAGACTCGCATCGACGACCATTCGAATCAGCATACGAACGACCTTTCAAAGTTCTTCAACGTGAATCTAACCACTATATGGCCGATAAGAACGGAACAAACGATAGCATCAGCATCGATCGTCTCAAAGCAGCGTATTTAGAAGGAAATCCCATTCACGTCGACTTTCCTTCGGTACAATTGCACAACACGGCTGCTACACTCATAATTCATCAACCGACAACCAACACTAGCGATGATCGTCCGAATGTATCTGAAAATATACCTAAAACGACGCGTTCTGGAAGAAAAGTAAGATTTCCAGAACATTTAAACGACTACTGCACGTAAGGCACTACTCGACATTTTATATTATCTCGATCTTTCTTTTTGCGATATATAATATTAAAAAAACAATTTTAATATGCTTAATATGCTTATGTATT